GGCGGCTGGGAGGCGGGATTTCGTGACCTAGTTAAGGCTACAGCGTGATCAGAGAGCATGCGCGTGGGAGAGAGGCAGATGCGGCGTGGGTGCGAGCGGTCGCACTTTCAGCCGCCTATTCCATTGAATCAAAGGGAACAACCGAGCAACCTTTACATGAATAGCTAAATTTTCCTGTCTAATGCTAACCTGTTTTGGCTTCAGATAGCTTCATGGGGTTATGGAGAGGAAAAAGTTTTGCTAAATGCCAGCAGTAAGCCATTTTTGCAACATTATGCTGCAAATGAAGAGTGGGCACTGCAGGTAAGCTTTTATAGGACAGATTTTGAACTGTAACTTTCAGATAGCTTGTTTCAAATACGAAATTTAGGAGGTTGGCATCACTCAGGACCACTATGATCATGAAGGAACAGTCGTGAGCGAAGCGAAGTACATTGTATCCATTTCTAGGAAACCCTTCTACTACCTAGTTAGCCTTGTACTGCCAAGCTACATCATATGCATGCTCTCAGTAGCTGGACTATTTGCGAGATTTTCTACAAAATATGAACGACAGGTAACCATGCAGATGACCCAGTTGTATCCACTGTTTGGATGTGAATTTCAATTGTATTACAAAACAATAATGAATAACGTTCTGGACTGCAACTCATTTGTCTCAGTTACTTGAAGAACCCCAGGCGTTCTCACAAAATGCTGCTTCAAATTACGAGGAATGGTATCTGACTCGAAGTGGGGCTTTCAAAATGGAACGCATATTAGCTGGAAGTCCTGTATGTTAATCCAAAAAGACGTTCATACCTGTTAAACTGTTTAAGTTATAGGCAATTTTCTGCTTTCAGTTTGTATGCTCAAGTACTGCCTCAGTGACCTGAATTCGCAGTAAATGCGAATTTGCTTCTGAGCTATAGCTAAGTATCCAATTGCCTGTGTTACACTTTTTGCATAGAAAAAGTTGAAGGAACGAAGTTAGTTACTCTGCTACCTTGGTCTGCAACAAACAACCGAATTCGGCGCCATTTGTACCAACAAATGCCTGTAA